ACTTTGGAATGGTTGGCATCGGATGTCTCTCCCACATTTCTCCCAAATGTTTATGGAAGTTCACAACTCTTCTATTTTCATGAAATAAGAATTCAAGTTGTTATTTCAACACTTCACTACAACTCCACCATCTGTCAGAATGACTTGAAACTCAATAGTCATGACCTTCAGCTCAGCTCCCCAACCAACCAGCAGATTGAAAACAGCAATGTGAGTAGATGAATAGGAACTGCATGAAGCAGGGAGGTATTTTAGGCATGGCGTTTGGGAGGAAAGTTTGCAAACAAAGAAAGCTCTTTGGCAAGGAGATGGAGCAACACCACCCCCCTGTGGCCAGAACTGAGCACAGCCTCCAAACGATGCCAAATGATTGGAAAAAGCCAATATATACTCTATCTGTTGTCTGCCTTGTCACTGTATAATTGGCAATGTATATTTGCTGTATCTGTGTCCTGTGATCCGCCCTGAGTCCCCTTTGGGATGAGAAGGGCGGAGTAGAAGTACTACAACTAAATAAAAGAATAAGGAGGTTACTCTCCCAGCCTCTGGGGGACCTTCCTCTAGAGCCATGGTTCTCAACCTGTGTGTCTCCAGATGATTTGGCCTTCAACTCCCAGAAATCCTAACAGGTGGTAAACTGGCTGGGATTTCTGGGGGCCCTTCCACGGAGCCCTATATCCCAGATCTTACGGCAGAAAATCCCACATTATCCAAATAGTCAGATCTGTATACCCAGATAGCCCAGTTCAAAGCAGATATTGTGCGATTTTCTGCCTTGATATTCTGGGATATAGGGCTATGTGGAGGTTGTAGGCCAAAACACCTGGGGACCCACAAGTTGAGAACCACTGGTGTAGAGGTTTCTTTGGTGGAGGTGGGGAAGGGGAGGCAAGCCAGTGGTGCTCGCCCCTCTTCCAGGACGGTGCTGCCAAGGGAGACCCTTCTTGATGGGTAGATGCAATCTCACACACATTCCTGTTTGTGCCATGCTGTAATGTGACCTCCTCAAATTCAAAAGTTTATTGCACCTGATTCAAATATGCATGTAAGTTAATGAGTTATCCACCATCTCTGAAGGTGTTTGGGTCACGCATGTCTGACCACATGTTTGGAAGGGTACAAAAGGGGGATGCATCCTTTTGTTCTCCCCATTTGCCCATTTGTTCTGTTTTGCTACTTTTTGGGATGTAAC